TTGTCTTCCTTTCGCCTTTTACTAGAGAAAGAAGAAAGAACACCGTGGGCTGAGCACGCTGAGCACCGCGGCAAGGTCCCACTAGCAAAGAGGATCGGATCGAATGGCTGAATCTGGACGAGATTTTGGAGATGTGCAGGAAATCCGGATTGAACTGCTTTCCTGCATCCTGCATCTGTGCTTCAATCACATCCAGATTCAGGAGCTCGATCCTATCCTTTTTGCTAATGGGACCTCGGCCCAGCTGACAACAACAAATTTTCACGGCCCTTCGCTCCGCCGTCCAGCGTCCCTGATTCGCCACTTTTTTTTTTTTTTTTTTTTTTTTTTTTTTTTTTTGATTCGCCACTGCGTTGGGCTTGTAAGTGCAAAAGTACTGGGCTATACCTTTCTCGGCCTTTTGGCTAAAAATAGACCAAGTGTACTAGTATCTGTTCTGGTCAGTTTAATATCTGATCCGTGGTTCATCGGACCACATTAAAAAAAATTAAAAAAAAAAAAAAAACTACTGGGCTGGGTCTCACCGGGCAATACTCTCCGTGCCAGGTACTGACGAGTCCATACAACTACGACCTCATACCAGCACACACCTAGCAATTCTGTGGGAGTCTTCTTTAAAACACACACACACACACAAACACACAAGCCGTATCTTTTTAATTACTTTATTATTATTATTATTATTTTTTATTTTTAAATTTATCAGGGCCTTCTATTAGTAGTGGCCAAGGCAAATTACATCAGCACAGTAAGCAACAGCAAGGACAGCCGGGTTGTCCCGGCCCACCGGGAGCTTGAAGCCCCATCCCTCCCTGTGCACAGTGCACGGGGTCACTTTCACACCCATGCCTCAACGGCAGCACCAGCCCAGCACCAGCCCTGACAAGAGGGGAATCCTCATATCTAAGCACAAGCCCCACTCAAATCTGCAAGCAGCAGACACAGATCACAGAACAGCACTACCAAGACACACTATACAGGACACAAAAAGACACCAAATCCAAAAGAAGAAGACACTCTGTCGTCCTTCGGGACATCCGTTAAAATTGGAACGATACAGAGAGGGGTGATTAGCATGGCTGGCCCCTGCGCAAGGATGACACGCATAAATCGAGAAACGGTCTAAATTTGAAAAAAAAAAAAAAAAAAAGACACTGTCTAGGCTACCAGCCAGGCCGCCGGGGTCCCGGGTGGCCAGCCCGTGGAAGGACCAGCCAAGGTCCAAGCAAAAAAAAAAAAAAAAAAAAGAACTCAAAAAATTCCAAAACAAAACTATGTTATGCATAAAAATAAATCGTACATCTTTTGCCTCAGGGCCACATCGAAATTCTTCACCGAAATTAAAATAAAAAATAAATTATTATTTTTATTTTTATTTCTTTATTGTTTTTTGGCCCGGCCGGGCAAGTGACCCCGGGCCACTCTGGTAGCTTAGCGTGACTCTGTCCAACAAAAAAAAAAAAAAAAAAAAAAAAGACACTCTATCCACTGTAACCAACAAAGGGTGAGCTCACTGAGCTGCCCAATGTTTCTGACACCAAGCAATACCAGCCCTATCAGGCCAGCCGTGTAATGCATAATACCAAAAAAAAAAAAAAAAAAAAAAAGAGAAAAAAAAAGTAATGCATAATAGCCTATTAATAGGGCTTGCATGCTTTGTGCTGAGCTGCCTGACGCCGTGACCAGCAATACTTGTTGGCGTCACACAAGTACTGCCACCGGCCTACTTTGGTAAAAGGGTCTGCCTGCGCTGCTAAGTACTGGGATGGGTGAGACGCAATGCTTTGCGGGTTAAATGTGTAAGCACTGGGAATGTGGATGTGTTTGCCGCACAGATGCAGAAACAGCTGATCCATCTCAAAATTTCCGCATCATTCCACAAAGATGTCCAGATTCAGGAAATTGAATCCAATCCTCTTTGCTAATAGCACAGTTATTTCGGGTGAGAGCCTTTTGGGTGCTCTGGCTACTGTAGCTAACAGGTAGGAGAGACCAAATCTTTTCTCAGAAAGCCACCACCCTGGCCTCTATCTTCGCAGAATACAAGCATGCTATCAGAGTACCTACTTCCCCCGAATACAACGTACGGTCATTATAGCTGTATGTATTTGGGGTACCTTTCAGTCTAAATACAACTATAATGACCGTACGTTGTAATCGGGGGAAGAAGGTCGACATCATGTCGTGGTGGGTCAAAATCCAGAAGCAAACAGGCTCCGAACGAATCGCCCAAGATTCGCTTCCAATCCAAGGCTGAGGTCCCCTTAGCAAAGAGGATCGGATGGAACGCCTGAATCTGGATGTGCGCGTGCAAAGGGTGCAGTGGTTTGGGGAATTCAGCATTTCCATCCGTATCTCTACGGGCAGAAGTTCCTCCTCGTCACGGATCATGTGCCTTTGCTGGCCGTCAAGAGGCTCACCAATTACACGGGCAAAATTGGACGCTGGGCTGTGCGACTGCAAGAGTACGACTTCGATATCGTCCATCGGAAGATGGAGAAGCACGGGAACGCTGACGGCTTGACACGTCTGCATCGACCCGACAAGGTGACTAAGGGTGAGGAAATTACCCCGTGGAAGGAACCAGAACCAACCAACAAGTAATCATACGAACAGGTGGCCATCCTTCCTCGAACTCCTCAGGGGTGATTGACACGATGGCGATGGGGCGCCGAGGTAATTCCGAAGGTCCCGTTTCTCCTCTCTCACCCTCCTCCTTTTCCTCCCTACCTGACAAATTTTGCTATTTTTCCGAGGCAATTTCGAGAGTCTACTCGGTCCCTATGCGACCAAGCGGGGAAGGCTATGTCGAGTGGGTAGATTGTCAGCGATGTGTGTCCCGAGCCCATGGTTCCTGTATACAATACCCGAATGCGGACAAATCCTGGTTGTGTCCTCTGTGCTTCACTGATAAAATCCCGACGGAGGCTCGATTTCTCGAAGCCACGGCCGAAGGACTAGAAAAGACCCGACGGTTTAGAAGGGCTGAGGTGTGGACATATGTCGTCTTGATAGCTACGATGGTTGGGAACCGCCTCCAAGATTTCACAAAGGAAGATCAGAGACAGGCCAATGAGAGGGCTCGGGATTACCGATGGAATGAGGGACGGTTAGAAAAACGGAAAACGGACGGGAGCAGGATTTGGATGTTTGTCCCGCATCCGTTCATAAGGTATGACTGGGTTAAGTCAACCCACGGGGAAACCGCCGCCCACTTTGCCGTCAGAATCACAGAGGCTGTGATAGACAAAAACGAATGGTATTGGTCTAATATTCGAGACGATGTTAAGTTCATCGTCCGCAATTGTCAGGTCTGCGCTGCTGACAAGGTGCCAATTCAGCCGCCTAGGTCGATAGAGCCCACCGTAATCGAATGGCCATTCCAGAGGGTTAGCATGGATACAACCGATATTGTCGTACCCCCTGGACCTAATAGCTGTGAGTATTCAATTCTGCTGGTATTCGTAGACCATTTCTCGAAATGGATCGAGGCCTATCCCTGCAAGACGCGACAGGCGACCGAAATTGCGCGATACGTCAACCGTTTCCTCGGGATGCACCAAGACACAGAGGAGATCCTAACGGACAATGGGGCCGAATTTTGAGGGGAAGTCTTGAGGAATCTAGTCTAACGCTGTGTCTCTATCCGCAGTACTGCTCCCCACATGTCGCAATCTAACGTACTGGTGGAGAACGCCAATCGAGTGATTAAGACCGCTTTGTGGCGCAACATCGCGGCAAATGACACAAGGCCTTGGCCCGATATCGTAGACCGTAGCTTGGCTATCCACTGGGGGACACTCCACGAATCCACAGGCCTGACCCCCTTCAAACTACGGACCAATAGCCTACCCTGTGTAGCCCTACCGAGCCTAAATGATGAAACGACCCTTCCGCGACGGACCACTAGGGCGACGGTTAAGGATAAGGCCCAACGCCACCTAGAACTGATGGAAAAGGTCCTCCCCCGACTGACCCGAAAAAGACAGCGAATGACCGAAATGGCCCATGGGAGACAGGTCAGGAGTTACGAGGCACGGAATGGGAACGCTGGGCCTCGGCCCCAATATGAATTAGGGGAAATCGTGCAGGTGAGGAAATGTGCTCACCAGCGCAAGCTAGCGCCACGAATCTTCGGGCGATTTCGCATGGTCGATCTCGGTCCCAGCGGGGTGAACACGGTGCGGCTTGCGCCGAAGGTGTCGGGGAGTAGATCAGCTCGTCCGATCATTCGACACGTGTCCTACCTCCGTCCTCTCCCCTCTTCCCCTTCTCCTCCACCATCCACATCGTCCCTCGATCAAGAGGAAGACGACGACGATCTTGAATCCTCCTTTCGTTCTCAGCCACAATCTTCGACTCCGCCTCCACCGCCATGAGTTTTTCGACAGAGCAGGTCATCAATGAGCATCTGATGACCCCGAGGGGGCGTATAGCGGCAATCCGGTAGGTGCAACGACCTTGGTTGAGTCCCGATCTTCTTAGATTCGCCACTTTCTTCAGCACAGCAGCCATCTACACAGCAACAGAGTTCCACTTCGTACACGCAGGGGCGACGAGTGTACAGGCCGAGATTTCGGCTTTCCAACGCCTGTCCTCGCCCGGCGTTAGCTACATATCTGTCGTTGTCACTTCACGGCGGTACACTCGGCGATTCATGAGGACATGTATCGGCAGTTGCGGCGTTGGGCCGACAAGATCACAGCCACGTGGATCGAGTTACTGGCTCGGTTGGGAGAAAGGATCGTGACCTCAAACGACATAGATCTTCGACTCCGCACCACCAGCAGCACGCCGGAGATCCTTCTCCCAGAGCTCCTTCCCTCTGAGCAGCCCCAATGAACCGTCATCGTCTCTCCCTCTTCAACCTTCCGTCTGATCTCCCCACCTTCTGGCAATCTGCTATCGATCCCGCCCTCTCTTTCCAGATATGGGAACTCAGCGTGTCGATCTTGGACGAAGAGTCGAAGACAAGTGGAACGGGTGGTGGGACGCTTACGTGGAAATCGGCTTCTGTTTGGTGAACGTGGTGTTTCATTGGGCGGAGCTGGCCCCAGATGCTGAAGGAGGTGAGTTCCAGGACGACGAGGTGGAACTGCTGATCGTGCAAACTTGGCGGACGAGTACGGAAGGAGAATTGTTGGGGATATTATTCGGTAAGGTGGAAGAGGGCCATCTCGGCGCAACCACGGACGAGTTGTTGGTGTTTTTGGCGCAGCTGGTGGACGATTTGCCCCTCGACATCCTGTCGAGGTGTGACGAGAAGCCGGGGACGGACGTGCTCACTCGCACGCTCGCGCCGCATCTGTTGTGGTCGACGTGTACGGACAGGGATAATTGCTTCTACCCATCCCCGAGCCTCTATCTCGAAATCGACGTCACTGATCTCACGCTGTGGCACCGTTTTATCCGGCGAGGAAACGCACTAGATACGAAGAAGAAGAAGAAGAAGAAGAAAAAGAAGAAGAAGAAGAAGAGGAGGAGGAAGAGTCGGGCGCTGATCGAGACGATCCCGATTACATCGGGTCAGGAGAATATGAAGAAGCGTCGGGAGAGGAAAGTAGATCGGGAGAGCCAAGTGGTCGTCCCAGGCGAAGCGAAGAGGAGGACGAAGCCGAAACTCAGCGAAAGGGGAAGAAAGTGGAGGGTAAGCGGCCAGTCGGAGAACCCGAAACGCCGCTACCACAGCTGCTGCTAGGCGACCCATCGCTAAATCCAAAGCCGCCGCGCGAAGAGTCCGAAGGAAATGGAGCCGCGACAGAGGGATCAGGAAGTCGACGCCGCCGAAGGAGCGAATCACCGGCTCCGTCTTCTTCACCATCACGAGCCACTCTTCGCCTTCGTCGAGATACGGGCGATCGGGCTTCGTTCCCGATCGTTATCTCGCCGCCCCCTTTACTTCCTCACCCCTCACCAACTCCTGGGTCGACCCCCATTCCCTGATGGATGGTGCCCTTTCCCACCCTCTCTCTTCCACCAATTTTACACCACCCGCCTTCTCGTCACCGTCGTCCCGCATGCTACCACTCGCTCCTTCGTCGCCTCCTTCCCTCTTCATGTCCTTCTTTTTAGCGTGACCTGGCGGGAATTTAATAATATAGAAGTCTACTGCATCATTTCGGGCACGATTCCGGCCTGCGAGAACTACGAGAGCTTCCGCGCTGCCATCCCTCGCACCCTCTCCACTCTCTACCCTGACTATCTCGCCTCTCTCCCTCATCAACGGGAACACCCTTGATTCCCTCGTATCCACCGCACCATCCACTACACCCGGATCCCCACCAGGGATAGGGAAATCCGCCGCTTCATACCTCCCCTCCCCCAAGTCCATCCACCACCTCCTCCGCCCGTCATCAGATTGCCCTTTCCCAGGAATATTTAGGATAAAGCCTGCGAATCATGTGGCACGTGTGAGCTCCACGTCGATCCTCTGAGTTTCAGATCGATGCATAAGTGAGTGAGCAAGCGGGAGCTTGCTCAAGATTGGAACCCCGTGGGGCCTGGGCGTCACATATGTGACGAACCATTTTCTGTAAACGCGTGACTTTCTACGCGACGCTCCCTTGGGGAAATGGGACGGGTCGGATGGGTGAGCTGTGGAGAGATGGGTCAGTCGGGCAAGTTGCATGGATACCCTTGTTTCTTTTTGTTTTCTGTGGGAGTCTATCGGGTTAATGTCTGGAAAGTCCTGCACCGACGATTGGGTAACCGCGCCTTAGCGAGCGCGATGGACGACGGTTGTCATGGCTTCTTTCTTCTTCTGTTGTGAGCACTAGGAATTTTTTGGCACGATTATCACGCGGGAATATCGTTTTTTAAATTTTCAACTGACGCCGAGCCCCCACGGGCCCACGAAATTATTTTCGGGTTTTTCGGAATTTCTTTTTGCAATTAGGACTTAGACTAGGGATTTAGGTACTCTGAATTTTGTTGCGCCACGCTTCTCACTCGCGCACATCTTGCTGCGCCAGGAACTGGGCTCTTACGGGATCGCGCCCTGAATCTTGTGTAACTATCGCTTTTGGCAGGCGCGATTGTAACTGTATCTTTCTTCTTTCTTGATTTCCTCGTGTTTGCGCGCCTTCTTCTTCTTTGTCTTGCATGCTTAACACTCTATTTTAATTGGCCTGATCGTCTATATGACCGGATCGATGCGTGGAGTGCGGCTACTACCCCCACGCCGTGGCCTTGCCATGTAGGCGAAGGCACTTCCTCTCTTCTCCTCTTGACCACTTGGGCTTAGTCCCGTATCCTTCGCGCAAGCATGCATGCTATAAATTCTGCAAGCGGGATTAGTTCGCTCTCTATGAACTTTGGAGTTAGCGCGATCAGTGAGGGTCGAGTCAACTTGAGAGGTGAGTCGACGAGAGAGTTGGGTGATCCGACGAGCTGGTGTCGGGTATGCGGGGTTGACGTGCGGGCTGCGACGAACTGTGGCGCACGGGTGAACCTGGCTTGCATGCTCGAACCAAGCGGGGTGACGACTCTGTGTTGATGCGTGGCGACGGATTGCCCGCATCGGGGAGTGTAGAGCAGAGAGAGAGAGAGGAGCTATGTGTGGGATGAGGTCTCTTCTTCCAATTACCTGTATAATTTTCACTTCCACTTTAGCCGATATTGTTGCGGCACTCTCGGACTTTCTTCATAAATCGTTTTGGATTTTCTTTGCTGTTTTTTTGCCTTGTGTGTATGCATTAAATGGATGCGAACCCTTTTTGAGTGATCTTTCGGATTTTTAATCTTATTCTGTGATGCCTGCTTAATTCAAATTTCGTCACTTTCTAGTATCCATCCACGTCGAGCCATAATCTTGGGTCTGATTGAAAACGCTCGCTACGGATGTTTGGGGTTATCGTTAACCTTCGATCGTCATCAGACCACTAAGAAAGTTGTGATTGCCTTGCCGCCCCACCCCCCCTCTCTGCCTTCGTCACTAAATGGCATGGATGTGAATGCAATGACTGGACCAGTATGGGTAGGCCCGGTAGGATAGTTGCATACAGGAAGGACCCAATCAATACACCGACGCGAGAAACCCAAGTCTGATCCCCTTTCTCTCATGTGCCCGCTCGCGTACGATCACGATCTCGAGAGAACCGAGTCGCAGCGTACGCGCGCGTCTGCATGAGTCGACCTCGATCCTGACTCACTATAACGATGTGGGAGACCGAATTCACTAGTCAAATATGGTTGTAAGAACCCCCTTTTGGATCACCGATTGTGAGAGCCTGAGGGACCCGGAGTATCGTGAATAATAGGAAAGGGAACATCTCAGACGGCGGGGAAGCTTGAGAAACCCGAAATTCCCCTGTCTAACGGAGAACGACCGACTGTGTGCGGGGGACTTTCACTGGGCCATAACTAGCGATCTCAAAATTACACATCTCCGGGCTTCGTCGTTATTAATACCAGTTTCCCTCACTTCCATCTCCTCCTTCCATATCACCAGCTCACAATGGTACCGTGGAATTCCATAGCTCGCTATTGGCCCCGCACATCGTGCGAAGAGTGCCAGCAATACCATGCGTATCGGGCTTCGTGGTTTATTCGACGAACCTGAACCGAAGCCGAGCGGCAATTACACAGCCTCCGCTTAAGGCCAGGCTCGTCGGATTCTGAAGCCTGTTACGAGCGGCGCCGACAACTGTTCGAACAACGAGACAACCATAGTGTCCCACCGATCCACCAGATAAGGGACCGACCGCGGAGACGCAACTGACAGAGACGATAGTCCCATCCCCGAAGGATGAAACGCCAGATATGATCTTCGCGTACCATCTTGCACCATTGTCCCTAAACTTGTCACCGGAGATCTCTGTTCCGACCTGGGACTCCATCCCCACTTTCCTAAAATCCTTGGCACACCCCTTTTCGCACTTTCGGGCCCCCGTCCCACTCCAATCAGGAAGTCGCGCTGGGCGTGAGGTTGGGCGTCACATTAAACAGGAAATATGAAGAACGTCAATTAAAAAGGAAAATCGATGTCCTGCAGAAAAATCCCTTAGACTCCTTTTTCTCTAAGATCGTGGCTCAACGTAGAAGAGCTAGATTAATGCAGGAATGACAAAACGCACAAATCAAACATCATAACTTATGGGAAAGGCACAGGCAAATAGACAAAATCCTACACACCGACAGCTAACCAACAAAACTACAACAACAATCAGCCACACGTGCAACCAGTGCCGTACCCCCGTTCACCGTTCACGGGGTCGGTGAACGCGGGCCGACCACCGGTCACGGAAAACGTGACCGGTCAGAGTTCGCGGCGTTCATACTGAGCGGGAACTTCGTTGTTTTTTTTTTTTGGCTGGTAGTGGTATAGTTTCTTAGCACAGACGTGTGGGTGGTGTAAACAGGCATCTGCCCATATTTTTTTATTTTTTTTTCCGATCTGAATGTATTTGATTTTACTTTTTGAAAGAAAAAAAAAAAACTCCTATCTTTCGCGACGTGCAATACCGCAGGAAAAAAAAAAAAAAAACCAACGCCCTCCTCGTTTCGCGAGAGGCGTGTGTGTGTGTGTGTGTGTGTGTGTGTGTGTGTGTGAGAGAGAGAGAGAGAGAGAGAGAGAGAGAGAAGAGAACAGGTAAGTCTCCATCCTCGCCGCTGACCTCATGGGAGCAAAATCGAATGCATCTACCGCTAGAACATGGAAATATACATGTATTCATTTCCAAGAAAAAAAACCCAAAATGTTATTATTGTTTTTTTGACACACACCCCCGTCCTGTTTTTTTTTTTTGTGCGTTTTGAAGCTATGGAGTCTTAGCTGGCCCTTGCACGACCTCGATCGCGCCCCGACCCCGACAGCCCGGGCTGCCACGTGGCCGCCAGAGGCGTGAACGGCCCCCGTGAACGGCCATTCACAGAAATCGGGGCCCGTGAACGGTCGGTCACGTTCAGGTGACCGGCGCCGGTCACGTTCTCGGGTCTGGCACTGCGTGCAACTCAACCCTCATCACTCTCCTAGAACATCCGGACGACCCTTCCAAACCACCTGCAAGCTACGTGACCCCCAAGGCCGCGGAACCTGCGGCCTAGGAGGCTGCCGGGGAGGCCTACCGAGGGCCCGCGGCCGAGGCCGCACTGTCGAGGCCGCACGGCCGAGTTTCCGCGCGGCCGCCCTAACCCCAGGCGGGGGCGCGTGCGGGAAAACGACGCGCGTGCGCGGCCGTCGCACGTCGACCTCTATAACCCTTTAAAAAAAAAAAAGTAAAAATTTGGGGAGGTGTTTTTTGGTGTGTGAGAAAAAAATAAATAAATAGAAAAAACATAAATATTGATTGATTGATTGATTGATTGGTTGGGGAGGGGTCGTTCCTCCCCTCGGCCCGGTACACGCTCACACACACACACACACACACACACACACACACACACACACACACACACACACACACACACACA